CCAGGCAGGTCTCGAACCCGCGGGCTCAGGCAATCCACTCACCTCAGCCTCCCAAAGGCATGGGATTACAGGCTGAGCCACCAAGCCCGGCTGATTCCTTTTGTTTTTACCTAAGAGTTGCTGCTGCTTTCTCCTAAGAAAATGCTGTAGTCCCAGACTTTTGCAAACTTTGAGCAGCATCTTTTTTCTATGACAGTCTCCTTATCAATCTTTCAGACTTGACTTTCATCAGAGCATTTAAACTGGTACTAAAGAATGTAATATATTAGCATAGTAGTGACAAAGGAAGTCTTTGGATTTAGTGCAGAATCACTGAAAAAAGTCAATGAAGAAATGAAGATTGCTTTATTGACTTTTGTTTGCTCATTTCATTCCATTTTTCCTAATTTGGATTTTATATTCTCTGTCTCTGTTTAGTGGTTGTCTGAAAATTTTTACGTTTGTTTAATTAAAGACTACAATTTATTCAGTCTTATCACACTTCTCCCAGTCCATACAATGGTTGTACAATTCTTTTTCCTTTTTAAGTTTTCAAACAAAGTTTATTAGTGAGAAAAAGGGGAAAATCAAAAAGGAAGATTAATGGCAGAAAGACCTGCCATGGGCAAGTCTCAATAGTTGTACAATTCTGATCATTCCTTTATGTCTTAAGTGCCTCTGATGTGTGTTACTGTTCTCTTGTTTTCTTTTTAGTGCCATAATGTAGACATTTCTGGTTGTATAGACTCATTGTATTTATTATTGTGTGTTTACCATTTTCTTTGCTCATTCATTTCTTCTTGTTTCTCAGAACTTCCTTGTAGGGTTTTCTTTTTTCTTGAAGTGTATTTTTAAAAATTTTATTGGAAGTGTCTGTTGGTTGTAAATTCCCTATTTTAATTTTCCTGAAAATATCTTCATTTTTGATAGTTTCTCTGATCATGTAATTCCAGATTGCAAGTTATTTTGTTATAGTTCTTTGAAGATATTGCTGTTTTTTGGCTGCTGTTGTTGCCAATAGCAAAGTTAATCTGTAAGTGTTATTTCTCTATATACTCAAAAAATTATTTTTTTAAAAATCTAGTTGGAAAATTCTTATCTGTTATTTCTTTGATTATTGCTATCTTTGATTCTTTATAGTCTCTCCATGAATTCCATTTAGGAGCGTTAGACTTCACTCTATTTTCCATGGCTCTTAACGTTAATCACGTTTTCCACTTCTTTGTCTTCTGGTTGCATTCTGGATAATTTCTTATCTGTCTTCTAGTTCACTGATTTTCTCTTTTGTTATTTCTAATCTGTTTACATGTCCATTGAAGTTTTGCTTTAGATATTATAGTTATCATCGTATTTGATTCTTTTCCTCATTGTGCCTCATTATTTTTAAAATAATTGTTTTCTTAGTCATATCACAATTTTCTGTTTAACATGTCTTTAAACATGTTAAATGTATTTTTATGTCTGAAAATACCAATATCTAAAGTCTGTTTTTTGCTATTTGTTGTTTCCACTAACTCTCATTCATTTTGTGTGTGTGTGTGTGTGTGTGTGTGTATGTGTGTTTACACTAAGTATGCTGGCATGTCCCTCTAAGAGGACTTATATGTGCTTCTGGCAGGCACCTAAGGATACTACCAATAGGAGTAATTTTAAATTAAGTTTTTGGATTGAACTTTTAAAAATCATAAATGTAAGCCGGGCTCGGTGGCTCAGCCTGTAATCTTTGGGAAGCTGAGGTGAGTGGACTGCCTAAGCCCGCGGGTTTGAGACCCGCCTGGGCAACTTGGCGAGACCTCATCTCTACAATAAATAAAAAAAAAAATTAGCCGGACATGGTAGTGCGCGCCTGTAGTTCCAGCTACTTGGAAGACTGAGGCGGAAGGATTACCGGAGCCCAGCAGGTTGAGGCTGCGGTGGTCAGGAGCGTGCCCCACTGCATTCCAGTCTGGGCGACAGAGTGAGACTCCAACTCAAAAAAAATAAAAAAATAAAAATCATAAATGTGAATTTATGTAAAACCATAAATGTAAAAACATAAATGTGGATTCTGTTCTTAAATCCATGTAAGGGCCAAGCTCTAGTTACTGTTGCTTTTCTCTGTTTTCCCCAGATCTAAAAACTAGATAGGCAATTTCCCTACCTCCACCTGTGTTCACCCTTCCATTTGTTCAGCAGTCTTACTGAGGGTGTTGTGTTTGGGAATCTTAGTGGTTTTTTTTTTTTGAGTCGGAGTCTCACTGTGTTGCCCAGGCTAGAGTGCAGAAGCACACTCATTCATGGCTACCTCACCCTTGACCTGCTAGGCTCAGTTGATCCTTCTATCTCAGCCTTCCAAGTAGCTGGGCCTACAAGCATGTGGCCATCATGCCTGGCTAATTTTTTTATTTATTGTAGAGATGAGGTCTTGCCAAGTTATCCAGGCTGGTCTCGAATCCCCGGGCTGAGGCAATCGTCTCTCCTTGGTCTCCCAAAGTGCTGAGATTACAGCATGAGCCACCACACCTGTTTTTTTTTTGTTGTTTTTTTTTTGAGATGGAATCTTACTCTGTTGCCCAGGCTGGAGTGTAGTGGCACACTCACAGCCACCGCAGCCTCAACCTGCTGTGCTCAGGTGATCTTCTGTCTCAGCCTTTCAGGTAGCTGTAACTATGGGAGTGTGCCACCCCACCCAGTTCATTCTTTTGATTTATGGTAGAGATGAGGTCTTGCCAAGTTGCCCAGCCTGGTCTCGAACCCTGGGCTCGGGCAGTCCTCTCTCCTCTGCCTCCCAAAGTGCTGGGATTATACATGTGAGCCACCGTGCCCGGCCAGTTTTTTTATTTTTCCCTGTCCCAAAGATCAGTAATGAGGGTATCTATTTGTTCACTTTAGTTCTTTTTAGCTGACATTTTTTAGGTATTTTATACTTGGAGGAATGTTCAGGATATTGTTTGCCAGTGGTAGATAGGCCTCAATTTCTTCATCTGTAAAATGAGGATAATGTAGGCTTTACTAAAGAGGATTGAACTAATGCATGGAAAATGCTTACAGTGCCTAGGGTTATTACACGTTTAAATCTCTTCCTTAATCACAGCAGCGGGCAAACTACTACTTTACTGCTACTCAGAAAATTGGTGTCAACTAAATCTCTTGTTTCATAATGGAAGTTTTTGCCTAGGGTTTGTCTCTTGGATGGGTTGCCTCTGAGAATTTACTGCTTTTATTATATAAAAGTTTGACTTCCTTTGACATATCTAAAAAATGTCAAAGGAAGTCAAACTTTTATATAATATTCCATAAAGGGGATAAAAGGTTGAAATAAGTTTGTTTTTGTTCATTTTGAGTCTGACTATGTGGTCTGATACCTAGGTGCAGCTGATGAGACCATGTTGCCTTGTGAATTTTGTGAGGAGCTCTATCCAGAGGAGCTGCTGATTGACCATCAGGTGTGTTGGGAATTACTTGAGGGCTTTAAAAGTAGGAATATGTGCAGGCCACTGTTGATGTTACAGGGCATGTGATGTCTTGAACAAACCATTTTGATGCAATGCCTGGGGTAGAAGTAGTAACTGTATTTTTTTTTTACCGTGGAGTGACTGACCTATGGGTATGAAAACTCAGCCTTGTTCCCTCTTTTCCATTGCCCAGGCTGGAGTGCAGCGGCATACTCATGGCTACCGCAGCCTCGATCTGCTAGGCTCAGGTGATCCTTCCACCTCATTCTTCCAAATAGCTGAAACTACAAGTGCGTGCCACCACACCTAGCTAATTTTTTGATTTATTGTAGAGATGAGGTCTCGCCAAGTTGCCCAGGCTAGTCTTAAACCCCTGGGCTCAGGCAGTCCTCTCGCCTCTGCCTCCCAAAGTTCTGGGATTACAGGCATGAGTGACTGTGCCTGGCTGTTCTCTCTTAGAAAAAGTGATAGCTGTGATGCATGCCTGTAGTTCTAACTATTTGAGCCCGAGAGTTTGAGGCTAGCCTGGGTAACATAGCAAGATCCTGTCTCTCTAAAAAAAAAAAAAAAGAAAAAGAAAAAGTGATGCTTATTCCAGCAGACCTAGTGGTCTCATGCTAACAGACCCTTCATCTGGTGGTGACTGGTATACATACATCTCTATTGACCATCTTGTGATCTGGTCTCATCACATGCCACATTTTGATTTATTGGAGCTGTATTGAAGTCCTTATAGTTCTCTAAAAGGGTCAAGGTTCTTTTCTGCACGTTATTTTCTCTGCTTGGAAGGTACTTGGCCTTCTGCCCCTGTCTCCTTAATATACTCCACAACACAGAATCCTTACTTGTAGACTGGGTTTTAGACATGACTTTCTGAAAACCATCCTGAAGGCTAAGTCAGGGGTCCCCCATGTGCTTCTCTGAAAGTCTGTGTCCACTTCTCTTACAGCTTGTCACTCTGATATGGTCTACTGGGTTCCCTGTTGATCTGTACCACTAGACTGAGTTTCTTGAGAGCAGCTTCTAGGTTTTCCCAATTTCTGAATTTCTCAAAATCTGGTATCTGAAACGTATAAGATATTTGAATGATTGAAAATTTTTGAACCATTTTGGAACAATTGGTGAATAACCTTATGTGTTTGGGGATTACCTGGTGGAGGGAACCATTGTTTTCTCAAGACTGTCTGATTTGGTTTGGCCTAGACTGGTATTTCCACAACTACTAAGTAGTTCTTGTGCTCTGAGTAGTAGAACATGGAATAATGCAATATTTTAATACATCTAGTTTTTGGTTTGGGAATACTATAAAAAAATCCATTAACAAGGATAATAAAGAGTATTTGTGCCTGTTTCTGTATGGGTGTGGGAAGAATCTTGAATCTTTTCTAATTTATTTAAAGAGAATAATCAGATGAACACAGTAAGAAATTAAAATAGCAAAGAAATATTAAAAGTAAAGTGAGCTGTGTGTATCCCTTGACCCTTTTTAGTCCCTCTTCCCAATATTAAGCATTAAAATTTTGTGACTTCTTTTAGAAAATGTCTTAGGAGTGTAGTTTTTCCTTAATCTCAGATTTTTTTTTTAAACCTATGTCTTTTGAATGACAGACAAGCTGTAACCCTTCACGTGCCTTAACTTCGCTCAATACTGGCAGCTCTTTCCCCAGAGGGGTGGAGGAACCTGATGTCATCTTTCAGAACTTTCTGCAGCAGGCTACAAGTAACCAGTTAGACTCTTTGATGGGCCTGAGTAGTTCACCCTCTGTGGATGATAGCATCATCATCCCATGTGAATTCTGTGGTGTACAGCTGGAAGAGGAGGTGCTGTTTCATCATCAGGTAAGAGTCCCACTTGGCCCCATGCTGATCCTCTGTGGGTGACCCTGAGGCTTCCAGAGTTGAGGATACTTCTTTACCTTTAAGTTGCATTCCAACCTGGCCAGAAATCTATACACTTGGCTTCAGGCCATATTGTTTTTGTGAGCTGGTTGTGATATACAGTATCTCAGGCCATCAGACTTTTTCTGCTTTCTGGCAACTAAAACTGTCATGTCACTAGCAGAAGATCAAAGAGCCTGGATTCTGTTTGAGCAGTGTGGAAGCCTTGCCAGAAGGGTTTAGGTGGAAGTTTCCCTGAGGTAACTGATGTATTCTGTTTGTTGCCAGGTGGGGTTTTCCTATCATGGTGGCCTTTGGGACTTGTATTCCGGAAAACCTGAGGGTCTAGTTTTGGCTTTGCCTTATGGTAGACCTTAGGTAGGTCCAGGCTCCCTCAATGGGGACATCTGTAAATGAGGGAGTTGGACTAGACCATCTAAAGTCTTTTTTCTTCTTTTACATTAGTAGTGGAAAATACATTTTCTGCCCAATCTTATTTGTTTTTTTCTTTTTTTTTTGAGTTGGAGTCTCACTCTGTCACCCAGACTGGAGTGCAGTGGCCGCTCCCGGTCACTGCAGCCTCGACCTGCTGGGCTCCAGCGATCCTTCCGCCTCAGCCTTCCAAGTAGCTAGAACTACAGGCGCATGCTGCCACGCCCAGCTAATTTTTGATTTATTGTAGAGATGAGGTCTCACCAAGTTGCCCAGGCAGGTCTCAAACCTGCGGGCTCAGGCAGTCCACTCACCTCAGCCTCCCAAAGGTGCAGGGATTACAGGCTGAGCCACCGAGCCTGGCTCTTATTTGTTATGAGGAGTCAACACTGCAGATATAATTTCTGTAGTTGATGCCATACTGTTGATGCCATAACTGTTAACAGCTGTACATTTCATTTCTATAGTAAAGACTTCTGCTTTTGATCAAGCAGTAGCTAAGTAACTACTTGTTGTCTTCTAGGGAAGACTGACATAAGCAACCACACAAATATTTTACTCACAATATAGAAATGCTTTCTTTGGCTTCCCAAGACCAGCGCTTCCTCTCCCTGCATGTATCAGAAAATGCTTCTGTCAGTGCCTCAGGTGCTAATGGGAATGGTTGCTCCATTCCAGATGTGTGCTTCCTCTTAGTTCCCAGGTCCTTTCTCTCAGAGACTGTCAAAGATTCCCTCCAGTGGAGTATGCTCACTCATCCTGCTATTCTTCCCTTTCTTTCTTTGCTCCCTCTTCTAGGAATAACTCAGTACACAGGTACTAATTCTATTTTTTTGTTTGTTTAGGACCAGTGTGACCAACACCCAGCTACAGCAAACAACCATGTGACAGAGGGGATTCCTAGACAGGACTCCCAGCCTCGAGAGACCTCACCAGAGCTGCCCAGGAGGCGTGTCAGACACCAGGGTATTAGCCAGGGCTGAGCCAAGGCCACAGGTCCATTGCTGGCTCAGGCCTGCTTACCACTTCTCATCTGCTGCTGTCATGTGGAGGTTACCTGACTCTTGAGTTACCAGGCACACTAGGGTCTCATGGGAACTCCTGCAGCTAGTGGCCCCACATTAGGCTGAGTTTTCTCAAATGTGGGCTTATAGGGTAATGGCTTTGGGGACAACTATGATGTACACTTAGTAGTCAGTCTTTATAAACCTGTGGATCTCCTGTCTGTTCACTTAATGGATCATTTGTAGATAATTTGCAAACCTTACTGTAGTTGCCCTAGGCTCTGCTTCTAGTTGAAATGTGCTTAGGGTACTCAAACTTTTTATAATTATTATGACTTAAGAGTCTCATGTCGGCTGGGCTTGGTGGCTCAGCCTATAATCCCAGTCCTTTGGGAGGCCGAGATAAGTGGATTGCCTGAGCCCACAGATTCAAGATCAGCTCCAGCAAACTTAGCAGGACCTCCTCTCTACAATAAATAATTAGCCGGGTGTGGTAGCGTGCACCTGTAGTTTCGGCTACTTGGAAGGCTGAGGCAGAAGGATCGCCGGAGCCCAGTAGGTTGACACTAGGGTGGCCGTGAGTATGCCACTGCATTCCAGCCTGGGCGAGAAAGTGAGACTCCAACTCAAAAAAAAAAAAGTCTCATGTCTAAGCAAGTAAACTGTTTTTGAAATCTCACTACTACAAAGCCAATTAGAAATTATTTTTCAGCTGGGCTCGGTGACTCAGCCTGTAATCCCGTGCCTTTGGGAGGCTGAGGTAAGTGGATTGCCTGAGCCCGCGGGTTTGAGACCCGCCTGGGCAGCGAGACCTCATCTCTACAATAAATCAAAAAATCAGCCGGGCGTGGTAGTGCATGCCTGTAATTCCGGCTACTTGGAAGGCTGAGGTGGAAGGATCGCCGGAGCCCAGCAAGTCGAGGCTGCGATGGCCGGGAGTGGCCACTACACTCTAGTCTGGGCGACAGAGTGAGACTCCAACTCAAAAAAAAAAAAAAAAATTATTTTTCAAGGTTTTCTTGTACACTGTTGTTGAACAGTTAGGAGGCTGTATTTGAGGACTGAGGTAGTAATTGTGCAGTGTAGACAAAGGTTTCCCAACTCTGTCCTGGAGACATGGGTTCCAGCAGCCTATTGGGGTGAGTAGTTCTTTACCAGAATGCCCTAAATCCAGCACTATAGCAAGAGCAGACTTTTCCCTAAAGCAGTTACTATTTTCTCGACTCAGGAGACCTGTCTTCTGGCTACATGGAGGAGATCAAGCAGGAAACAGCTAATGGGCCCACCTATCCTCCCAGCAGACCCATTAACAATATGACAGCTGCCTATGACCGACTTTCCAAGTTGACATCAGGTCCTAGAACTGGATTCCAGCCTAGCCCTCCACACGTACCAAAGCTCAACAACTCAGACAGCCAAGGCATCCAGGAACGAAATCAAAACAGCCAGAATGGGGCCATGGCCACTGGACATGTTCCAGTAATTCAACCAGTTCGAAATCTCTACCCAGAAAACCTTGTACCCTCCTTCCCCTGTGGGCCTGCAGGGAGATACAGAACTAGGTAAGAATCATTAACCCATGAATAGAATTTGGAAGTAGCTGAACAGAAAGGTACAGTCACCTTGTCCAGGGCATCGCGTAAGTCCATGGGAAGAGCAGGAGTGTGGATTTTTCCTGTATTGTCACCTGGTTCCAAGAAAATTATTTTGCTGCCCATGGGGGTTTTGTTTGTTTTATCTGCTAGAGGAGTGCTGCTTTTGCTTTGACACCAGCTGTTTCTGTTCCCTCTGAGTTTTCTGACTTTTACTCAGGGGCATCTCAAGAGCTGGTTTCCAAAATTTTTCTTCCAGTGATAGGAGTGAACGTGGCAGGAATTCCCGGGTCACCCCTGCAGCTGTCACCTACCGCAACAGAACTGCAAAGGTAACCTGGGATCCACCATGATGCTCAGTGAGGACTCAGACTGGGGTGGGGCTGGGGTGGCTTTGAAGCCAGAGAAGTTCCTGAGACCAGGCTGGTTGTGGTCAAAGGCCTGTTCCTCTGACTTTTGATGCGGTTTCTGGGGAAGCTGGGTTTTCAGATGCCAGGGGAGGAGTACTGCTCTTGCACTCTCTCTGTAAAGCACCTTCATCTGTGTTGTCTTGCTCAACAGGCAAAGCCCCCAAAGCAGCAGGGAGCTGGGGAGGCGGAAGAGGAAGAGGAGGAGAAGTAACGGTGTCTCCAGAGATCCTTCACACTGGTTCCCACCTTCCGTGCACAGCAGCACTTGCCGCGGGGCAGGCCCTGCCTCTCTGGCTCTTTGGGCAGAGATTTTCCAGATTTTAACTTTTTCTAGGTTATGGCCATTTTGTGTCTTTTGAGATTGTGCTGTGGGAGTTTAGGGGTTTGAGGGAGGGTTCGCAAGGAGGCTGCTGAGAAGTGTTGCAGCCTTAGCTGCCACCTTTTGGCAGCAGTGAAATATGAGTTACAGCCTCTTGGCCCACCAGGGTTCCATCTTTTGTCTTATTTTCACCACTGCTTCTTGGTGCTGTGTGGTCCCGGTGGAAGGTGGGGAAGGTTCTAGAAACCTGGTTCCCACCAGTGAAGTGATTCTCTGCCCTGTGGGGGCCTAAATTTGGGGCTTTTGGGTAACCTCTCCTGTGTACCGCCCCTGCCCAGTCTAGACTAGGCCACAGGTATGCGTGGAGGAGCTCTGAGAAAGTGCTCAGGCCAGTTGCAATACACGTTAGGGACAAGGCATCTGGAGTTGAGTTAGGCTGGAGGTGAGTGGACTAGAGGCTATGTTTTAAGCTGCTTCCTTGGTATTTGGCATCACTGCCTTCTGTTCCTGGTGGGAGCATGGCTCCTTTGTCCTCACTGCCCTTTAATAGGAAGGGCTGAGGGCTCCCTGTCCCACCAGGGCCATGCTAGGCTCTGCTCCAGCCCCACGCTTGCTCTGAAACTAAGTGTCAGAGACCCTTCCCCCTCTTTTTATTTTACTATTATAATTATTAACTTCCTTGTAATAGAAATAAAGTTTGTACTTGAAGTTCAGCTGAGTCTGTGGTTCCTCCTGTGCGCTACCGGGAGGCAGAATGAACTTCCTCCAAGATCCCTATAACCCTAGCAGAGCACGCCGTACGTTCAAGTGTAGTGTTCTCTAAAGTTGGTCTTTGAGGAAAATGACAGGCTTGCTGTACTTCCCGTGATGACTAGGGCATGGGGTGCTGCCTCCAGCTGAATAGAGGAGTGCAGGTTCTTCAGAAGCCTCCATCCGGGAAGTAGTTGAATGGGATCGTTACCCCTCAGCACCTCACAGTTTGCACAGGACTGTCTAGCACTGGAGGTGATTCTGAGTTCATTTGTTTTTCCAACAACCTAGTGGGGGTGAAAACGGTGGGAAGAATTGCCCCATTTCAGGTGGAACACTAGACATGGGAATAGTAGGGATAAACATAAGGCTGTGTAGCTAATTCTTGGCAGAGCCAGGATTCTGAAAAGAATTATCTGAGAAAAGCTGGGGGAAAAAACAAGGAGGGAATAAACTAGGGTTTATAAAGTAGGGTTACTTTTGTGTGTGTCAATTATACCTTAGTAAAACAAAATCAGAGTCTATTAGCTCAGACAGACTTTCGTATCTCAGGCGAAAGAAGCTGGAGAAACAGAGAATTGCAGGGCTTCTGGCATCATTGAAATCCCCCTGGGACTTCAGAGAGGTGGAAGGATCCAGGGCAACTTTAACACAGTCCTTTCCCCAGCTGGGCCAGAGAGTAGTCATGTTGCCCTTAATTGATTTTTTTGGGGTTAGGGATAGACCTGCCAGGAACTAAACTCGCCCTACTCTTTCTTGGGTTGGGTTGGGTTGGGTTAGACATCGAGCAAAATAACAGTGGGTTGGCTGGTTTTACTTTTTTTTTTTTTTTTTTTTTAGTAATCTAGTTTCTAAATGTTTTTTAATGGATGTACTTTTTGAAAAGTTTTGATATTTTTGTTTTAGAAAGTGTATTTTTTTTTTAAGTTGGAGTCTCACTGTTACTCAGGCTGGACTATAGTGGTATGATCACAGCTCACTGCAGCCTTGATCTCTTGGGCTAAGGTGATCCTCAGCCTCCCAAGTAGCTGAGATTACAGGTGCATGCCACCACACCTGGCTAATTTTTTGATTTTGTGGAGACAAGGTCTTGCTATGTTACCTAGGCTGGTCTCGAACTCCTGGGCTCAAGCAATCTTCCTACATTGGCCTCCCAAAATGTTGGGATTACAGGCATGAGCTACCATGCCCAGCCAATGATGTTCTCTTAATATAACTACAGTTTATCAAGAAATTGACATTGATATAATACTATCATTTAATTTACAAACATGCAAATTTTACCAGCTGTCCCAATAAGGACCTTTAGAGCAAAACATTTCCTTTGGTCCAAGATCATGCTGCATTTAGTTATGTCTCTTTAGCCTCCTTTAATCCGGAATAGTTCTTTTTTATTTTAATCTTTTTTTTTTGGTTCTATCTAAGTAGCTAAAACCATAGGCATGCGCCATCACGCCCAGCTAATTTTTTTTAATGTATTATAGAGATGAGGACTCACCAAGTTGTCCAGGCTGGTCTCGAACCCTTGGGCTAAGGCAATCCTGTCACCTCTGCCCTGCAAAGTGCTAGGATTACATAGGTATAAGCCACCGTGCCCAGCCTCCACAAAATACTTAGTAATTGAAACAGGGAAAATAGTGACTTTACAGTGGAGAAGCATAGCAGACTAATGTCTTAACCAAATGATCAATGTTATCACCAATAATGGGACAAATTGACATCATGAGTCCTTGACATGATACACTGAGGACATGTCATCATTTTTGGTATTCCTATTAAAATTTTAAGACCTGAATCTAATTGTACCAAAACATCATACAAACCCAAGTTACAGGATATTCTACAAAATAACTGGACTATAGTCCTGAAAAATACCAGGAAGTGAGAGGATTGCCTGAGCCTATGGGTTAGAGACCAGCCCAGGAAACGTGGCAAGACCTCATCTCTACAATAAATCAAGAAAAATTAGGCATGGTGGCACATGCCTGTAGTTTCAGCTACTTGGAAGGCTAAGGTAGAAGGATCGCCTGAGCCCAGCAGGTCAGGGCCGCGGTGGCCATGAGCATGCCACTGCACTCCAGCCTGGGTGACAGAGTGAGACACCGACAAAAAAAAAAAAAAAAAAAAAGAAATGAACTTTGAGAAGCTGAGGTAGGTGAGGATTGCCTGAGCCCATGGGTTCAAGACCAGCCTGGGCAACTTAGTGAGACCTCATCTCTACAATAAATAGAAAACTAGCCAGGCATGGTGGCATGCATCTACAGTTCCAGCTAATGGGGAGGCTGAGACAGAAGGATCGCCTGAGCTCAGCAGGTCGGGCTGTGGAAGCCATGAGTGTGCCACTGTACTGGAGTGAGACTCCAACTCAAAAAAAAAAAAAAAAAATCTAAGGAACTGTTCCAGGCTGGAGATGGTGCTTCATGTCTATAATCCCAGCACTTTGGGACACCATGGAGGGAGGACTGCTTGAGCCCAGGAGTTCAAGACCAGCCTATATGACAAAGCAAGACCTCATCTCTACCAAAAAGTAAAAAATTAGCCTGGTGTGGTGGCATGTGCCTGTACTCCAGCCTAGGTGTTAGAGTGAGACTCCGACTAAAAAAAACCAAAAAACCCCCGTATTTTGTAGAGAGATAATTTGAGATTATTAATATCCTGTTCCTAATTAAATCTTCACCTACTATTTTTAACATCTATGATGATTCTTGCCTGAATTATTGCTAGTCAAATGGTGATTTTTTTTTTTTTTTGAGTTGGAGTGTCACTCTGTCACCTGGAGTGCCATGGCATGCTCACCGCCACCCCAGCGTGGACCTGCTGGGCTCCAGCCATCCTTCCGTCTCAGCCTTCCAAGTAGCCAGAACTACAGGTGCACGTTACCACGCCCAGCTAAATTTTTATCTCTTGTAGAGATGAGGTCTCACCAAGTTGCCTGGGCTGGTCTCGAACCTGCAGGCACAGGCAATCCACACACCTTGGCCTCCCAAAGTGCTGGGATTACAGGCTGAGCCACCAAGCCCGGCCCAAATGGTGATTTTCTGTCATTCCTTCTACAGTAGCTGGTTTTTGTTCATCTATCTTGCCTGACATTAGAAGTCTTCTTACTTTTGCTCTCTAGATTGTTATAAGTCTGATGCCATTCTGACTTGCAAGTAGTTCATCTCCCTTGAAGTGTTTTAGGATCCCTGTCCTGGTATTTTAAAAATTTCCCCATGTTTTATGTTGGTGTGATTCTTTTTCCATTCAAAGAGCTAGACAGTAAGTAAGCACTTTCTGTCTGGAAACTCATGTCCTCCTAAGTTTTTCAGAGTTGTCTTAGTATGTTGGCATTTTTCTCCTATTTTGTCTCTGTCTTTGCAGAACTGCAATTATAGTTGGATGATGACCCTTTTAGACTGATTTTTTTTATCTTTTTGTCATTTTGTTCTATTTTATGTGAGAGTTCCTCAGCTTCATCATTTCATCTTTAACTTATTTCTGATACTAATTTTCGAAACCTTTATCTTTTATCCTCACGTCTCCACCTCCCCACTCCCATTTAATGAATGCAATACTTTTTCTTGTACTTCTCTGGGATGGTTGTTTTTGGATATCTTCCCTCTGCATCATCTGTCTCCTGGGATTTACTTTTCACTTTAGTATTTATGTTATATAGACTGTTCCTTATGATGTTCCTCTTGGCTCTCTGCGTACATTTGTAAGAATGGGGTACTAAAAGCAGCTCTCCTCAACTTTTGGTTTTCACTGTAGGGCAATTCAGCTGGTATTTTCACTGGAGATCCCTAGATGTTAGATACAGATGTGGGTATCTGTAGGTCTTTTCTTAGCTAGTTCAGAGAAAGGTCTTCTGTCTGTGCCTGGAGTGGGGCTGGGAAACGGACTAGGATGTTCAGTAGACAGACATGAATTTTGTCTTCTGTCTTGTCCTCCCTCGCCAGGTAACTATTGGAGTTGTAAGATTCTGAGGTTGCATCTTCAGAAATAACTTCTAGTCTTGGGATTCTTTTTTTTTGAGTCGGAGTCTCACTCTGTTGCCCAGACTGGAGTGCAGCGGCTGCTCCCGGCCACTGTAGCCTCGACCTGCTGGGCTCCAGCGATCCTTCTGCCTCAGTCTTCCGAGTAGCCGGAATTACAGGCACGCACTACCACGCCTGGCTGATTTTTGATTTATTGTAGAGATGAGGTCTTGCCAAGTTGTCCATGAGGGTCTCGAACCCACGGGTCAGGCAATTCACTCACCTCGGCCTCCCAAAGGCACGGGATTACAGGCTGAGCCACCGAGCCCGGCTTCTGATCATTGTTAATGACTCATCCATGTCGTTGTATATGCCAGTGGTTTGTTCACTTTCCTTCCTGTACAGTATTTCAAAACTTGTTTCCAGTTTTGGCTATGACTCTCAGTGCTGCTGTGAACACTCTCGTACATCTTTTTTTCTTTCCTATCGCGCTCATACAGCTTTAGGTGAATGTGTGTATGTCCTTCTGTTGGGTTGATGCCTAGGAGTGGAATTGCTGGGTTATCGGGTATGTGTGGTAGACAGTGCCAAGTGATTTTCCACAACAGTTGTAGGTTATATGCCCACAGGCAGTGCATGAGAATTCTGATTGTTCCACATCTTCCCCAGCCATGGTATTGTCTTTCTAACCCTTTTGTGGTGTGGTGTATCATCACTGTGATTTAAATCTCTATTTCCCTGCTGACAGTAAAGATAAGCATCTTCTCATCGTTATTGGATTATACACTCTCTGAATGTACTTTTCAAAAGCAGCAGACCAAGGAGACAGACTCAGCAGTGGAGAGTTCAGCCAGGCAGACACCTTAGGCATCTTGTTCTCTAGCTTCTCAAGTCTAGACAGAAATCTCTTTGCTGTGAGTGGTTGCTTTTGCTCCCTGGTCCAGCACCCTGAAGCAATAGACAGGAGGAGGGAGGAAAGCTGCTTGTTCTTCAACCAACAGGGTCCTTGCTCTTCCTATTATTATATGGGGTGCTTCCACCAAAGTTAGCACTTCTTGAGTACAAGAAAAGTGGCATTGACAGAATGAGAATAAAGTGGGTCTGGGTGAGGACTGCCATGGAATAGGAGGAAGCTCAGCAAGTCATGGAGAACTGAGTTGGATTCTCCCAAGTGTAGACAACAGGAGCTTCCTGGGGGTAGAAGGCAGCTGTGCAAGATATACGTTGATCATGGACAGCAGGATTGAGCCAAGTCCTTATCTCTTTTCCACACTTCCCTTCTGCACAGAATAGGTCTAATTCCACTGCTGCTCCCAAAGGAGAATATGTGGTCTAAGAGTGCCCTAGACTCTTCCAGTGCAACAGTCCACTTCAGGAAAACCCCTGCACCAGGCACAAGAGCAAAACTAGCTGTCAGGACGAAGGGTGACTAGAACATGCAGGGCTAAGATTAGCTGGATCTTGGATTCCTTGTCGTTAGTTGTAACTTCTACATGAAAAGCACAGACTCGCTGGGCGCAGTGGCTCACACCTGTAATTCCAGCACTCTGGGAGGCAAGAGGTGAGAGGATTGCCTGAGCTCAGAGGTTTTAGACCAGCCCGAGCAACATGGCCAGACCTTGTCTCTACAATAAATCAGCTGGGTGTGGTGGCGCACGCCTGTGGTTCCAGCTACTTAGAAGGCTGAGGCATCAGGATCGCCTGAGCCCAGCAGGTCATGACTGTGGTGGCTGTGAGCATGCCGCTGCACTCTAGCCTGAGTAGCAGTGAGGCTCCGACTCAAAAAAAAAAAAAAAAGAAGAAGAAAAGCAGACTCAGGGCTCAGGCTGGGGGAATGAGTAGTTTATGAGCATGATGGAGTAAGAATCACATCAAGTGCAAAGAAACTAATAATTTGAAACACTTTAATTCCTAGCCACTTGGAGGCACTTAAGTATTAGAACCATCCAAGTATGTCAGCCTTCGAACTTGCTCAGCAAGAGTAGATGATCACACAACTCTTAAGGTAAATCAAAATTAGATGAAGGTTATTTATTGGTGTGATTTTTTTTCCTGTAGTGAGCTTCCTTTACACAGCATGGTGTAAATAGCATCGGATTGAATGAAAAGTTTGTTAAATGCAACCATAAATAATTATAATAAATATACATCAAGTAACTTTACAGCACACATTTCTTTAGGGCCAAGGTTTAGATCTGTCTGGACTTCAATGTGCTCTCTGGGAGAAGCAGCCGTGTTAGCAGCAGATATGTTACTCACAACTGTCATCTAATCAAGTGATGGCCAATAGAAGTTTCCTTAACCCCTCTTGGGGAGGTAGCTGACAAGTCCATTCAGGGGATGAGGACGGGAGGGAATCCAGAATGTAAAGATACAAGGAAGAAAAACCACTTCTAATAAACCCAAAGGCTCTTCTTTCATTATGCAGAAATAAGAGGATCCTTGTTAGGAATACATCTTGGATGTGACACCGTCCCTCCACTCCTGGTCAAGGGGGCGGTGGCCCCTGGGGAGGCAGTGGGCTGACCATCTTCCTTTCAAAGCAGGGGTACTGCTTGCGGACACTCACTTCCAGAGGTGACTCTTGCACCAAATGTAACTGATGCAGCTGTCACGATTAATCCTAGGTTAATCTCATCCTCAGGTCAAGGAATCTTCTACAATGGTCCTTAACACATTTCCTAAGAATAACAGGAAGGAGATGAATGCTAACGGCTCTAACTCAAAAACCCACACATCTTTCCAGCAGGCCAGGGCACATCTTTCTCAACCAGCATCCACACTCCAAAACCTTCTAGACAGCACTCACTCAGAGCTCCCAATATTCACAATATTATACAATAAATACAGTGATGCAGTTCTGTGAGACCTGGCAAGGCCCATGACAGTGTCCAACAAGATGGCATGTGCTGCTCATGAACAAACTACCATTGGACAAAGACCTATTTGGGGCACAAATGCACTGGGGCAGTGGGTGAGCCCTGGCACACACACTTACGTGGGCAGTGAGGGGATGCTGGGTGGGTCCAGCCAGAGAAGCAGATGGGCCCCCTTGGAGTTTCCAGTTGGACGTGAAGGTCTGTGTCACTAAAGCAGACCCCGAATTGAGCAGAGCACCTCAGTCAGCTCTTCTAAAAGCAGAGACGTGGCCCTCTACTTTGTTCCTCATGTCACTGCAGTGAGGATGGGCTGTTTTTGAGCACAACAGTGGGGTGGGCTTGAGCCATGCTTTCCTGTTCAGTCAGTCTTGGAAAAGGCTCCACTTGAGCACTGTCCTCAACTCCGGGTGTCCTCTCACCTCCTACAGTTGGGACACACCCAGCCTGATCCTATGAACTAAGGTCAGGAATGAACACTTGAGTCTTCTCCCGAGGAGTCCTCAGGGGCAAGCCACCAGACCAGGCCCAGAAGTGACAAACAGCAGGTAGGGTTGTGGGGTGGGAGGGGCAGGGGAACCACTGTGGGCTTTTCCTCAGAAACACCAAGACCATGAGCAAGTTCTAAAGCAGAACATGAACACACACAGCTCCCTGTGTGTCCTGCACATTTGGGCAGCTGGCCCAACCATCTCGAGGAGGAAGGAGGCCTGCAGGAGCTGCAAACTCCAGCTCGAGGCAGGAGGGCGGGGCTGGCCACAGGCGTGTGTGTGGAGATGCTATGCAGAAAAATGGGCACTGCGTGGCCGAGGCCCACCCACTCCCAGCTTCCCGCTGGTGGTTCTGTGATGAGGAACCAGCATCTGGTGGCCGCGAGGGACAATGTTCAGGAAGATCAAATTAGACACAAACTGTCTGGGAACTAAACTATCCTACAAATAGACCACAAACAGGCAGCAAAAGAACCAACCCATCACGAAACGTACACATACAAAAGGTTAAGTCTTCCAGGAGGCCCTGGATCGTGGACGAAAGTTCGGGAAAGCAAAATGTTGCCAACTCCTCACGCAGGGCCCTGAAGGGACGTGCCGCAGTGGCAGGCTTCCCAAGCTGGCAGAGTGGTGCCTCGGTGACAGCCTAACTCGGGGCTCTCTCCCATTAGCCACTCAGGGGGTCTTCGCGGTAGTGAATGGCACAACGGAGCTTCTCCAGCATGATTTCCAGAGAGGAGTACTGGGGAAGCTTGATCATGAACATGCAGGTCTCCACTCGGATGTAGCGTGAGTCGGGGGAACCTGCAGAAGAAGCGTTGGCCGGCATTAGAGGCCCGGGGGGCAGCTGGGTCAGGGTCCCAGGGAGACCTAGCCAGCCTCTGCTTCCAGGTTTGCCTCTTTGGGCAGCTCCAAGGCGATCCCAGGGCCTGGCAGGAGGGGGAAGAGGGCTTGGGAACCTGGGGCAGGGCAAGAGCATACCTTGGAGAAGAAAAGGGGAGACTCTCGTACAGCTGCCAGACAGCGCAGGTACTGAACCGCTGACAGGCTTATTCAGCCAAGAAAGCAGTAATTTAGTTTGGTTTCTTTTTTCTTTTTTTGAGTTGGAGTCTTACTCTGTAGCCCAGACTGGAGTGCAGTGGCCACTCCCGGCCACCGCAGCCTCTACTGCTGGGCTCCTTCCGCCTCAGCATTCCAAGTAGCTGGAACTACAGGAGCGTGCTACCACGCCCGGCTAATAATTTTTTGATTTATTGTAGAGATGAGGTCTCGTCAAGTTGCCCAGGCGGGTCTTGAACCCAGGGGGCAGGCAATTCACTCACCTCGGCCTCCCAAAGTGCTGGGATTATAGGCTGAGCCACCGAGCCCGGCCGTTCCCCATTTTCTAATTAGATTTGTTTTTAAGTCAAGTTTTGAGAGCTCTTTACATATTCTTGAGCCTTTTGTCAGATATATGGTTTATAAATATTTTCTCCAAGTCTGTCGCTTCTCTTTTCATCCTCTTAGCAGTGTCTTTTGTAGAGCAAAATTTTTGAATTTTGGTGAGGTCCAGGACCAATTTGTGGATTTTTTTTTTGTTTTGTGGATCATACTTTGGAAAGACATTTTCACCAAGCCTTAGGTCCTGAGGACTTTCACCTTTGTGTTCTTCTATACTGTTGTACTTCTTTGTTTAAATTAATGATCAAGCCGGGCTCGGTGGCTTAGCCTGTAATCCAGCGCCTTGGGAGGCTGAGGTGAGTGGATTGCCTGAGCCCGCAGGTTTGAGACCAGCCTGGGCAACATGGCGAGACCTCATCTCTCTGTAGTTCCAGCTACTTGCAAGGCTGAAGCAGAAGGATCGCCTTGGTTCCCACCTGGCCCTCCCCACTTTTATGCTTGGTTTTGGCGTGCAGGGTCCCTGTTTACTGTTCTCTCCCCTCAGGCAGGGCCTGGCAGGCCCAGTTCCGAGCCGCAAGAAGGGCCTGTGTATCCCACCTGGAGCATGACCAGGCAGTACCTGCAGTGCCATCCGGGGGGGCGATCTTCATGGGGTATGGGGGCACATGCGCCGTGTCGGGGCCCCCATCTTTGCAGGGGCAGGTGAACGGGATGCGCTCCTGGTTGCAGGCGAACTTGATGAACTTGCACAGTTCCTCCTGTGCGAACGTTTCCAGAGCTCCCCAGAAGAACTCAATGTGCTGGTCTGTCTCCATCAGCCCCACCTGGTACATGGTGTGGGCCTGGGGAAGAGAGGCCCAGATGTGAGGAGGGCTGGGCCTCTGCTTACCCAGAGCCCCCTAGCCCAGGGGTCTGGCCCAGGGCAGGGAGTGAATGGGGTCTATGTGCACAGGGAGAGATGATGGTGACAACGACACGGGTCTGTTGTGAGGGCAGGCCACTGATGCCGGCCGAAGCAGCTGCGGGTGACTAGGTGGGAGGCCTGATAACCACCGCCAGCCCCGCCTGGCCCCAGGCCCCACCTTCAGGAACTCGAGGTTGATGTAAGGGAGGCCGCAGGTGCGCAGCTCCATCTCCAGCGGGCTGAGCGTGGTCAGTAGCTGCAGGGGGATGATAGAGCCCAGGCCAGCCCGCACAGCTGTCACACACTCCACGTTCTGCAGCTCCCGCAGCCGCAGGCTCCGGATGGCCGACGCGTAGATGTCCTTGTTCTCCCACCTAGAGGGAGTGTGGGGCTCCGGTGAGGGGGAGCACCACAGAGTTGCCTGGGTTGCTCCTCCTGGGTCTGGGGTCACACCCACCCAGCCAGAGGCCCTGTACCTCTTCCAGGGGTGGCCTCAGGCCCAGCAGCCCAGCTGTCGCAGCCCTGGCAGCCCAGCTCACTCCCTTTCTACCCCTGGTGTCACCTCCCTGAGCTGCCGCTGCCTTCTTAGTCAACTCCTTCAGCCGAGGACCTCCTTCCCGGCACCCATCGTCCTGCCTCATGTCCCTCTCCCAGTGCCATCCGCTCGTCACCTGACACAAGGCTCTTGTGCTGTTGCCTAAGCCCCAGTGCTGCTGTCATTCCTGGCCGGCCAGCCTGGCCAGTCCCCGCCCCGCAGTGCGCACACTCACGCCACAGGGATGTGCCGCCCCCGACTGCAGAGCTCCACCTCCTCGCCCGTCATGGTCAGGTAGGTGAACCTGCAGCAGGGCTTGTTGGGGCTGTCAGGGCTCTCGGTGGCCAGGTGCTGGGAAGCGATCTCGGCACAAAGGGCCTCCAGCTCAGTCTCGTCGTTGATCTGGAGGGTGGAGACAGAGCGAGGCTGACGGTCAGGGCCCTGGGACGTAGAACCCTGATCTTCAGTTGGGCAAACACCAAGCATAGTGTGGGTGGGGTCTCCCCTTGGCGATATGATGGGCATGTGACACAGGCCTGGCCGATCAAAGCCTATCATCAGTTAGGGTTGGGCATGGGACGTAGGCCAGGCCAGTGAAACCCAAATTCAGGTCTTTTCCTGTCCCCTTTCCTGGTGTGGGTCTGCCTATATGATGGTACACCTTGGACTGCTGAAGGTCACTGGGAGAGACTGCCTGAGACCAGTTATTGACGACATTGTTTGGGCACCTGAAATCAGCTCTGCCTGAAGCCAAATCCATATTCATGCTTTTTGTTTTAAACACAGATAAAAAAGTGTTTTAAAAATGATGTTGCCTAGACTCCTGGTCTCAAGCAATCCTCTTGCCTTGGCCTCCCAAAGCACTGGGATTATAGGAGTAAGTCACCATGCTTAGCTCAAAAGCAAATAATTTTTTAAAAACTTTTCTTCTTTTCTTAAACTAGTAGAAGGCGAGATTTCTTTTTTTTTTTTTTTGAGCTGGAGTCTCATTCTGTCTCCCAGACTGGAGTGCAGTGGCTGCTCTGGGCCACTGCAGCCTCGACCTGCTGGGCTCCGGCGATATCTTCTGCCTCAGCCTTCCGAGTAGCCGGAACTACAGGTGTGCGCTACCATGCCCGGCTGATTTTTTTTATTTATTGTAGAGATGAGGTCTCGCCAAGTTGCCCAGGCAGGTCTCGAACCCTTGGGCTCAGGCCATCCACTCATCTCGGCCTCCCAAAGTGCGGGGATTACAGGCTGAGCCACCGAGCTCGGCCCAAAGCTGAGATTTCTATAACTCACTTGCCACCACAGACACCGACTTAACCCTAGCTGTGGAAAATGTACAGGCTACTCCCTCCTACCATTTGGTACTCCAGAATTAGGGTCCAAAAGACATTCTGATGCGCACGCCAATGACAGAAACTGACTCAAGGGAGCCCACAGCTCGGGGATGGTGACAGTGAGAATGAGGATCTGAGCCTACTCTGTCCTTGGCCGCCACCAAGGTGAAGGCTGAAGGCACTCCACGGACAGAAGCTGAGAGCATTTCCTCCTGGCATGCACCCCCAACACCAAGGAGTTCTGGTATCCCAGCGTCCCTCTGTGACCAGAAGCCTTGGCTGGACCGACTGCCTGGGCATCGTCTTGCATCCTCTGTGGCCTAGTCCCCAGGGCCCCGGGAGAACTTCGCGGAGTAGTGCCTGACAGATACATAAATTCTAGCCCATGGTGGGTGTCTTCTTTCACCCCTGTAGACAACTCATCTCTGTCGTCCCTGTCTTCCCTGAGAAGCCAACCAGAGCCCGGGATCCCTGCTTTGCTGCTCGCTTGCACTGGGTGCCCTGGAGGGACCGCTACGGGCACAGCAGCAGAGAGCCTGGCTACGGGGGGCCTCCGTGGGGCCCTCAGGTCTTCTGCGGTGGAGGCAGGAGCAGCCACCACCTCCTTCAGCTGAGGTCCCTGTGGGAGCAGTCTCCACAAAGGAGGCAGGCTTTAGGGGGCGGGCTATCAGAGGCAAGACTCCACCCTCCTCCAGGATCTCTCCAAGCCAAGGGAGCGTGGGCTGGAGGGCACGGGCACCAGAAGGACAGACCTGGGTTCCTGGTGGCTCTGCTTCCACTAGCTGTGAGGGCCTGGGCAAGTTGTTTCACCTCGGGAGCCTCACTTTCCTCCTGGCCTCCGCATGGGGCCTACAGAAAGCAGAGCAGCCTGGACGGTCCCAGAGGGCAGGCTGTGCGACCAGAGCCTAGCCCTGACAAGGCCTCAGTGATGGCTGCTGAATGAATGGAGGACCTGGAGGCTCTATGAGCCCAGATGGCAGCCTGAGCACTGACCATATTCTCCTCCGGGAGGGAGATGATCAGCTGTTGCTGCCATCTCGACATCTGTGTGTCCCACAGTGCCAAGGAGAGGGAGGAAGAGCCCTGTTCCCAACTCCTCCCCTGGCCAATCCTGGGTAACCCCGCGGCTGACCTTCTGTACTCTGAGTCCTGAAACCAACTTTCTTTTTTTTTTCTTGAGTTGGAGTCTCACTGTCGCTCAGACTGGAGTGCAGTGGCCGCTCCCGGCCACCGCAGCCTCCACCTGCTGGGTTCTGGCGATCCTTCCGCCTCAGCCTTCCAAGTAGCTGGAACTACAGGCGCATGCTACCATGCCCGGCTAATTTTTTTGATTTATTGTAGAGATGAGGTATTGCCTGCTCAGGCGGGTCTCGAACCCGCGGGCTCAGGCAATCCACTCACCTCAGCCTCCCAAAGGCGTGGGATTACAGGCTGAGCCACCGAGCCTGGCTCTGAAACCAACTTTCAATGAAACTGGGCCTAACTGAAGCAGCTCCCCATCAGCTGGTTCAGCTCCCAAGATCCTGCCCCCATGTCCTCAGAAGGCCCAGCAGGGCTGGTCACGTCACCCCAGTCTGCTATTGTCAACAGGGAGGGAAAGCAGAGGCTCCTGTGCCCATGAGAGAAGACATCTTGTAGAGAAGGCCGATGCCATTCATGTGCTGTGGGGATCCCAGCCAGGTCTCACTAGGGCTCAGGTCTGCCAGGGAGGACTAAGCCCAGGCAGTGTAGAAGGCCCCAGGCCTGATGCCCCAGACCCAACTTGCCCGTCACTTACACTCTCGAATTTCTTGACGTAATTGTAGGTGAGGACGTCTGCCTCCTGGAGGTCCTGGTCAGGATCCAGGGGCTCACCCACCAGCGTCTTCCAGAAGGAGGGCAGGAGGTCCAGGGGCAGAGGCACATCTGCGCGGATTGCGATCCCCAGCAACTGCCCCAGGAAGTGCAGCAGCTGCTCCTCCCCGTAGGTGATGGGGCTGGGGGTCAGGATGTACTTGCCCTGGAAGGAGAAACCAGGATGAGGCACCTGCGGGTGTGTCCCTCTGCTCACACCCTGTGTCCCTGAGCTTATCCAGTCAGGATGGCAAGGACCTGCCCACCCAGACCAGGAGGGTTCTGGAAAGGCCTTCAGCAGTTCCAGAAAGGTGTAGAGCACCCCGACCCCAAGTCACTGCAGGGAACTCGCGCACCAGGGCATGGCCAGGCTCAGCCGTACCTTGTTCTTGTTGACAGCCGAGCTGGGACACAGCAGGAGGAGCGACAGTGAGGAGCTCTGCAGCTCTTTGCACACTTGCCACAGGAAGTGGCGGAAAGAGCCACCTGCAGGGCACATGGGGCACCTCAGCACTGGGTCATCCCAGGGGTAGGTGGTACAATCCCCTCCCTCTCCTGCCGGGACCTGAAGGTCAACCCGTTTGACAACCTTGGCTACAGGTATGGCGGAATGGAAATAAAACTGGCCTGAGGCCTGGGAGGTGGAGGTCAAATTCTGCTCTGTCCCCTCCTGGCTGGTGACCCCATGGGTATCACCCAAAACAGGGGATCCCTGAGTCAGGCTCAGTCACCACTGAGCAATGGTACCTGCCTCACAGCTGTTACAAGATTCCCACATGGGCACCTCACAGCTGCAGATCTGCCCTGCAGTGTGGGCTGGTTGGGCCCTGCCCATCTCCCTGGGCCACGCTGAAGCAGGGCCACCCTGCTCCCCTCAGCACCATCTCCCCACGCCCAGCTCATGTGTGTCCAGAGTACACATGTGGGTGAGAGCAGCATGGACAGGCAGAGGCAGCAGGCAGTGCTCAACTTCTCTGCTGCTGCCATTCTAGGCGGGCTTTTGGTTTTCTTGCAAGACTCCCTCTGTGGCTGGGCCTCCTTGGGCCTTCCTTGTGTGTTCCCATCTGTGCCCTGAGTTTGGGGAACTCTGAGGGCAGTCGTGCCCACATGCTGCCTGCTCAGAGCTACATGGAAGCCCGGCGTGGGGGCCAATGGCATGCCTGGTCCTCAAATCTGCTTCAAGGAGACACAGAGAAGCCGAGTGCTGACACCAGAGCCTGGGCTCTGGAACCCCATCTGGCTGCCTGCCCTTGGGGAAGCTTCTTAACTCTGTGTTGTCCCAGTCTCCCTATCTGTAGAATGGGACAGTGCAGGCATTCTGCGAGGCTTGGTGCTGTGAGGAGCACGAGGTGTTGAGCACCAGCCTGGCATAATCTGAGCTCTCAGTGAAGCAGAGCTGTTCTGAGAGGCCTGAACAGAGGATGCCAGCAACCCTGTCTGGGAAGCTGCTGCTGGCCACAGTGTTCCCTTGGGGGCAGATCAGAGGACATGGGGAAGAAGCAGGGACGTCCTCTTGTTCCAACAGTGTCTCCCTCCCTGCTGAGGAGGAACTGGGTTTCTTCTCTGGTCAGTGGAGACATGTCCCAAATGTCTGGGGCTAAACATGTCGAGAAGGTCACGAGGGAGCATTGTCTTGGCTATAGAGTGTGGTGACACCAGGTGCCATCTTAGTCAAGGGCTCCCCAATGCCCTGCCTCTCCCAGGGCACACTCAAGCTCTTAAACCAACCAATTCCCTAGCGAGGGGCCCGTCCTGGGGAGGAAGGTCAGTCAGCAGGCCCATCCAGCCAGAAGAGCAACACAGTGCTGAGCAGAGGTGCCAGCCCCAAGGCCGGGAGGGACTGGCTGAGGTCCCAGACCAGTGTGGGCTCCAGTTCCCACATGGGGCTTTCCTAGAGGTTACCCTGGGTGCAGACAGGCTTCTGCAGAGCGGTTAAGGAAGTGGCATTTACGTCTGAGAAGGGAGAATCTGACACTTAGGTTAAGGGTTTACAGTAGCCACAATCCCCTCCCTCAAAGCCTGGCGGCTACCACTTACTGGTGCCATGGACCTCCTCGCCGGTGAAGCGGATGTTGAAGGCATACGTGGGGTCACCACCGCTAGCCAGCTTGACACAGAGCTGAGACGACGGCACTGAGGCCAGCTGCCTAGCAGCCTGGCAGAAGTAGGAATTTTCAGAAGCTCTGATTTCCCCTGGAAAGTGAGCAAGGAGTCGATCAAAACTCCCTATGGCCCTCCCCACAGGACAGCCCCAGACCCAGCAGCTTTACCTGTTCTCCTTACCCCACCTGCCCCTTCTGCCGTCTCTCCGCTTTTAGGACATCTTAAAACCCTTCACACCTCAGTACTCCTGGCTCCCGCTGCGTGGAACCTGCCAGCCCTGGTCTTACCTTCTAGGGGCTTGTTTGCCTCTGGGGGGAGGCCCTTCCCCCATGGTTCCTCTCTCATTCCCTTCTGTGTCTTTCATAATGTCAGTCTGTTTTACATGCTGTGGCACCCATTCTCCCCTCTTCTTTGATGCCAGAATCCTCATTTTTGGCAGGCACATGGGATCAGAAGGAAGTCTACAGTACCCCTTGCCCCCACAACTCCCTCCTCCTACCCTCCCCATCCCCTGCAGCTAGGCTAGACCTGGCCAAGCACTTGAGAAGAGGCCTGACCCCATGGGAACCAAGCTCCTTCCTCCTGCTGGCCAGAATGCAGAGCTCTTGAGGGCCTTCCAGGTGGAAGCCACATGCTAGGACGCTAAAGCAGGACAAGAGCAGCCAGATTAACCAGGAACTACCCTACCAGCTCTAAAGTCCTACCTTCTAGAAGCTTCTTTTATGTTGGAGAAACCCACTAGTTTGTTAGGCACTGCTATTTTGCATTTTTTGGTTTTCGCACTCAATCCCACCTCCCACAATTTCCAGCGGGTCCAGGGTGATCTCAGGTGCCGCGTGGTCTGCTGTCCTCTGCACGGTGGCATTCAGCACACGGTTCATCACGGTCACCTTCGTGTCATAGAAGATCAGTCCTGAAGAGAGGAAGGTGGGAGAGGCATGGAAGGGGCTGCCTCCTTTCTTCCCAGTCCCCCAGGGCCACTGCCGTTCTATCAGGCCATTTCCAGTCCCTCAGGACACTCTTCAGGTAGCTGGGTGGGGCACTCACAGGCCATGCAGGTGATAGAATACCTGGTCCTGACCCGGTGGAAGTTTGTTAAGTGTCTACACAAATGCTAAGTGCATTTGCCCTTGATGCTGCCATGTCCAGAACACCCGGCTTGAAGGAACTAAGCAAGCAAGTCAGAGTTACACAACGGAATATAAAAATGGTACCTATTTTTTTTTTTTTGAGTTGGAGTCTCACCCTGTTGCCCAGGTTGGAGTGCAGTGGCACGCTCATGGCCACCAAGCCCTGACCTGCTGGGCTCAGGCGATCCTTCCACCTCGGTCTTCCAAGTAGTTGGAGCTACAGGTGTGCGCCACCATGCCTGGCTAATTTTTAGGTTTATTGTAGAGACGAGGTCTTGCCAAGTTGCCCAGGCTGGTCTCAAACCCCTGGACTTGGGCAATCCTTTCGCCTCAGCCACCCAAAGTGCTGGGATTATAGGTGTGAGCCATCAAGTCCAGCGGTACCTATTCTTAATTTTAAAAATGGTTAAAAAAACCTGTGTGTGTGTGTGCATCTATTTGTATGTGAGTAGAAAAGTCTGGCAGGACAGACACTCATATGTTAACAAGGGTCCCTCTGGGATGTAGATGCTAGATAATGAGACGGAGCTTTAACTTTACATATTTTAAGTAACTTGAAAACTATTAAACTAAGTTTAATGTTTCCAGAGCATATGTTACTTTGATAATTAAAGTAACACCCTTTGGCGGACCTACTCTCCAGGGAGCCCTACCCTTGAGAAGAAGGAGGGGGTGTCTTCCTGGGGGTTGCCTAGAGGCCGCATGACGTGACTGACCTTTGGCCTCCTTGAGCAGGGCGGCAATGCTGTGGGTGTACATGGGCGTCTGGCGCAGCTCCACCAGGGGCAGGAAGAAGGTCTCCAGCATGGTGTTGAGGGACTGTAGCAGGGCGAAGCGCAGGCGCAGACTCTCGACGGGCACGTCTGTGGGACATGGGGGTGTCAGGCCATGGCTGTGGCTAGGCTAGGCCGAGACACTCGATATGCAGAAAAACACGGTGGTCCCTACAGTGGATTTCATAGCCAGGACCCTGGAGATGTTGCTGGTTGGGTGAGCCGCCAACATGCCTGTGCCTGGGTCAAGCAGCCACAAGGTAAGGCCCTGGGCGGGCCAGATGGGAGCTGCTGCTCCCAGGACTCCTACCTGCAGGTCTGGCCAGGGCTACACACTGTACTGGACTGTTTTTCAACTTATTATTTTGAAGTAATTATATAGGAAGTTGCAAAAACAGTCCAAAGAGTCTTGTGTACCTGTTACCTAGCTTCCCAACAGTGACACGTATCTAAACCAGGAAGAGGTGCCATCGGCACACTGTCTTTAATCATTCATCCTCACATCTGCCTCCTCTCCCTTGGAGAGAGACAAGAGTTAGGGACAAGCTCTTGCCCACTTTACCCCTCGGCCTCCAGAGAGAGCAAGGGCTCTGCACCCAGTGCTGACGAGGCGAGCGCTGAGCAGAGCTCACACCATGCGTGGGTCAGGCCCCTTCCAATGTGTTGTAAGGAGGCAAGGGGAGGGGAGGAGTATCTGGGGAACAAACGGTTTATTTATTGTGTGTGTTACTAGTCTTTAATAGAAGCAAACTGCTTCCTGTCATGTCTACCGCAGGTTATCAGATACCTGACCCCTTCTCACTCCCTGGGGCAGCCTGACCTTGCAAGAGGTCTCCAGGCAGGGGCCCAGGCATCACCTTGCAGCCCATGTTTCTGTTATTTGTTGCTTGGCTTTGTTACAATGAGCATTAAAAAAGGCTTCAGTTGAGCATTTATGGTACTGTTACAAACCATAAATAAAATTTAAAAAAAAAAGGCTTCACACAAATATGGCTGCAACCCAGCTCTGTGTTTTTCTCTCCCTCTCATCAGCCCCCTATTCCTTGCACTCCTGGTATGAGCAGGTACTCATAAGCATTTCTTCAATGGTGTCTAGATAACACCCGCCCAATAAAACACTCCTTGTCACAGGTCATGGCCCCACTGGGCAGTAGGGGAGGGAATAGCCCTGGGAGCCACATACTCAAGAGACAGGCCACTCTGGGGTCAGCCGTGTCTGCGGGGTCCAGGTACACCTCATGGGGATGGAGCCGTGCCGGTGTGATGGCAAGGTGGCGGCACAGCCGGTTGATGTACTGCACAAGTGCCACATCCATCTCCAGAGTCCACTTCCTGGAGGCCTTCTGTGCATGTCGGACATCGATGCAGGCACACCTGGGAAGAAGGGTCAGGTGGGGTGGCGCACACCAGGTTGACCGCTGGATTCCCATCATAGAGCCTACCTCTAGCTCCCAAGCATGATGGCCTTGCCTGGCGGGCTGTTTCCTGCTGCCTGGGCAGCTCCTCTCCGGGAAAAGTTTTCCAAGAAGCCAGGGAAACTCACAAGGGCGTGTGAACCCAGGAGTCCAGCAGCTGTACCCTCACATGCTCACTCCGTCCAACAAAAGGGCATCAGGGTGTGGGGTGTGTGTGTGTGTGGGGGGGGTAGTTCTGAGGCCTGGAGGTAAATCTAGGCTACATATAGTGACCTGGGCAGAAAGATGCCCATGTTCTGAGCCCTGCCAGCATTTGGTACCTGCACTGAAGACTCAGAGTCAGCTCATGAATGGGTTGTGGTGGTGGGGACAAGTTTTCTGAACTTGTTTTAGAAATCCGTAATGGGATGACCCATGTCTTAGCTCTGAAAAGAGATTTTTACAAAAGCATGTGTCTGGTCTGGTGGTCATTTTTGGTGATGCCAGGCACATCTTGCTGTGGGCAAAGGTGAGAAGGACTGTTATGTGTGTGAGAGCCAGAGGGGAGCGCAGGGCACGTTCTATTGTTTTGCAAACATCCTGCCTTCTTGGAATTCACTGAAGCTAGAAGGGGGAAACCATAGTTGGCCCCAGAGACCAGGTGAGCTGCAGCCTTCAGGTGACCCTGCCTGGGAGGGAGAGAGGACAATAAAGGCCCAGGGACAGTGTGACTCCCAAGGAAAGATTCTTGGGAGTAAGAAATCATTTGTTATAGACTGAATTGTGTCCCCTGCCACATTTATATGTTGAAGCCCTATTCCCCAGTTGCCTATATTTGAAGATGGGGCCTTTAAAGAGGTAATTAAGGTCAAATGAGGCCATGTGGGTGGCCCCTAATCCAAAAGGACTGGTGTCCTTACTGGAGATTAGGACATAGACACGCAGATGGAGAGAAGGCTGGGTACAGGGACAGTTTGAGAAGGTGGCCACCTGCGAGCCAAGGAGAGAGGCCTCAAGAGACACTGACCCTGCTGCCATGTGGATTTTGGACTTCCAGCCTCCAGAACTGTAAGAAAATTAATTTCTGTTGTTTAAGTCACCAAGTCTGTGGTATTCTGGTACAGCAGCCCTAGCTGCCAATACAGTCCCCAAGTTTCAAGTTAAGAAGAAAAGGGTTTGTTTATAAATGAATTAGAAAATCCACTTAATAATTATGAAAAATTAGGAAATAACTCAGGTTTTGCCATGTTGCCTAGGTTGGTCTTGAACCCTCGGGCTCAGGCAATCCTCTCACCTTCGCCTCCCAAACTGCTGGGATTATAGCTGTGAACCACTGTGCCTGATGATATCATTATTTTTTGAGTTAGGGTCTAACTCTGCTGCCCAGGCTGGAGTATAGTGGCATGATTGCAGCCACTGCAGCCTCAACCTTATGGGTTCAGGCAATCCTTCCACCTCAGCCTTCCAAGTAGCTGAGACTCGAGGCATGTGTTACCATGCCAGTTAATTTTTTATTTTTGTAGAGACGAGGTCTCACTATGCTGCCTAGGACGGCCTCAACTTCCTGGGCTCAAGTAATTCTCTTGCCTCGGCCTCCCAAAGTTCTAGGATTACATATGTGAGCCACCGTGCCTAACTTAGAATGCATTATAAACAGGGGAGATGGACTGGCTTTCCAGAAAGTGTTTTCTTGGCAATGCATTTAGAAGCTGAAAACAGTTTCTATACAAGATATTAACAGGGTTGAGAGGCAACCCTCTTACCTCTCAAAATGAAGATCATAACCACAGGACAAAATCGCCCTCCAGACGCTACGGATGTCTTGCTTGGCTCGGTCAACAACAAATTTGTGAAATCCTTCCAAGGTCAGATATTTTTCCTCTGGGACTGAAGGAGACATGTTCACAGTGTTAGGAATTTGGTGAGAACTGCACACGACATGGCCTCTCAACATGTGTTATTAATCACATCCTCCCCCTCATGGCCTGATGCGCTTTCCCTTCTACCTCCTGTAACTCCAGGGTCTGCTATTTTACTCTCTACCCACTGTGCACAGAATACACATACCCCTCACGTGCCCAGGGCTCTGACGGCTCAGCCTCACCCCAAGAGGCTGGTCTTCACACAGTGCAGTGACTCCCACATGTGACCCCTCTGTGCCCAGGGCTCCGAGGGCTCAGCCTCCCCTCAGGAGGCTGATCTTCACAGAGCGCAGTGACTCCCACAACTCTTTTTTCTATGAGTCTTGGAAATATCCCCCACTGACAAAGCTATTTTCATGACAACGAGAACAGACTTCTCCAACTCTGCTTGGGCCTATGGAAGAGTATGTTCTACTACCAGAGCAGACCACCAACTTAGGGAAGTGCATTCTGGAAGGAAACTTCCAGGCAGATATCTGAATCTTGGCATCCTGGGGCAACTAAGTGGCACCAGCCAGGAATGTATCCCAGCATCTTTGGAAATGCTGCCCAGCCTGAACTAAAACTCCAGGAGCCCACAGCCCAAGGCCCACCCTGTGGGAGAGCAGCCAGTCAGGAAAAGCAAAGAGGCTCGTTCCCAGAATGGGCTGCCCTGTCCTCGCATGAAAGCAGGTCCTGATGGGCTGCCCTGTCCTCGCACGGAAGCAGGTCCAGAGCCCGCCTCAGGCGCGAGCTACTCGTTCACCTTCTTGTTTTTTGGTGGGTGACTTTTCTGGGTCCTTTTCATCTGGTTTGCTCTTTTCTGGTGACTTTGGCTTCACAGTGGGTTTCTTCTCACTTAGAGCAGTCCTGCTGTAAGTGAGAAAGCATGGGATTAGAATTCCTCATGCTCATACCCCCTCCAACAGAGGAAACAGAGAACCTCACACAGGAGGTTCGTTCACCCTCTTCCCCTGACCACCAGTATATGGCTTATGATTCAGACAGAGATGGGTTCAAGATCACCTGTTTCTGAGTGAGAAAAGTTTACTGAGCAATTATGATGACAAATCCATGTCCAAATATTTCGAAGAGAGTCTTTTCTTTCTTTTTTTTTTTTTTTTTTTTGAGTTGGAGTCTCACTCAGTCCCCCAGATTGGAGTGCAGTGGCCACTCCTGGCCACCGCAGCCTCGACCTGCTGGGCTCCGGCGATCCTTCTGCTTAGCCTTCCAAGTAGCTGGAACTACAGGTGTGCACTACCACGCCCGGCTCTTTTTTTTTTT